GCTTTTTCTGATCTGAGGGCTCCATGAAGGGCACCAGTCCTGTTATAGAAACCTTTCAAAGTTTTGGAAATTAACGTAACTGAATGTTCATATCCCAGGAGAACCTGTTACCTAGATTTCCCCCGAATCTCTCACTAGATGCATCTGTCACGGTGCATCAGTCAGTTGCATATTATCGCGCTTTGCCATCTTACAGCAGGTTACCATAGAAACTAAGGGCTTGTTATTGCAAAATAAACAGTTGGACATTTTGGCCCAGTTACTGTGGGACTAACCTGGCAGGGATGAGAGTAAACTGAATTACATCTCAGTTTTTCTGGCCCCCCGGAGTTGCATCTGGCACTACCGCTGTATATGACAATATAATTGTCTGACTAGAAAGTTGTTTTTTTTTTAAAAAAGAGACAGAGTACTTTTAACAAGTAAGCTACCATAGATTTCTCAATGTGTATCTTAAAAACATAGAATGTCTGTCATGGTTTTGTTTTCCTGGGGAAGAGTTTCTTAATACAGCTGCTTCCCCCCTACAAACATTATTTGAGGTGTAGTATGTTATATCTGTATAGACTCACTATTGCAGTATCGGGGTGCCTCACAACACCCCTGTAAGGTCAGGCAGTGCTATTATCTCAGTTACACGGATGGGGAACGGAGGCACGGAGACATTAAGGGTACATCCGCACTGCAAAAAGACCTCTGTGGCAACGAGTCTCAGAGCCCGGCTCAACCAGCTTGGGCTCGCGGTGCTCCGCCACAGGGCTAAAAATCGCAGTGTAGGCATTCCAGCTTGGGTTCTGAAACCCGGCGAGGGGGATGATCTGCACTGATATTTTGAGCTCCATAGCGTGGCCCTGCGAGCCCACCAGTTGACCCGGGCCCCGAGACTCACTGCTGAAGAGTTTTTTTGCCGTGTAGGCGTAGCCGAAGTGACTTGCTCAAGGTCACACAGGGATCTACAATGGAGCAAGGAATTGAATCCAGGTCTCTGAAGTCTTTAGGCTAGCACCTTATCCACTGGACCATCCTTCCTTTCAATGGCTGATGGTATTAAATATCCATGTAGCTGAAGGTCAGAGCTGTGCGAATACAGCGGGGGATAAAGACTAGCAAACATTACTGTGAATAAAACTCACCAGTTTGTTTCGAGAATGGTTATTATTAAGTATTTTTATTAGAGTAACTCCCAGAGGCTCCAGCCTCTATTGGAGCCCCCTTGTGTCAGGTGCTGTACAAACACATAGAGAGACAATCCTTCTCCCTAAAAGCTGGCAGTTTAAATAGGCAAGATAGACCCGAGTTCGGGGGGGAGAGGAAAGAAGTGCTACTGTGCCCATTCTGTAGAATGGCAAACTGAGATTAAGTGATTTCTCAAGGTCGCCTGGGAAGTCTGTGGCAAAGGTGAGAACTGAACTCAGATCTGAGTCCCAGCCCTGGTGCCTTAAGTACAAAACTATTCTGTAAGGATAGTTTTCCTTTCGGTATTCACGAGCCCTTTTATTTGCTCTCTGAAAATATAAGTACAAGGGAATTTTTATCCGAAACAGTTCTTCAAGGGTGGAGTCCTGCTTTGTGGGTCTTGAGTGAGGCATAGGCTAGGGCAGGTTCTCTGCAGAGTGGTGAATTTAACCCACAGGAGAGACTTGTGAGCAACTGTTTTCACGTGACTTTTCACACTGTAAGTGTTTCCCTGGCCAGCTTTCTGTTGATTTTGGAGCCATTCGGGTAGGCACCAAAACCAGTCTCATGTGACTACACTGCAGTCAGAGGGGTGACTGCAACAGGTGTAAACATACGCTAGCTCCAATAACAATACACATGAAGCTGCGGCAGCACAGGCTAGTTGCTGGAGTGTGTACCCAGGGTCCCAGGCGAGCTTGTACAGTCCATGAAGCTGTGGCTTCATTGCTATTGTTGTTCAAGCTAGCTATGTTAAAGATCAGCTATATCTCCGATCGCAGGCTACCAATAACACAGTACAAACTGCAAATATCCGAAGCAGTGACTAACCCATGAGAACCACCCATAGGCTGAAATATGTTTCCATAAAACCTTTCTATCTAAGTACTTCTATGCCCCCTTCCTTCCCCCGGCAAACATTCATAAGTACATTCTCACAACCGCCCTGTGAGATAGAGAAGAATTATTATCCCCATTTACAGTTGGGGCATCAAGGCCTGGCCTGGATGCCTCACATAATATAGAACATTTGTGGCAGAGCCAGGAATTGAACCCAGGTGTCCTGGATCCTTGAGTTTTAGTCACAGAACCACCCTTCCTGTCTTACCCCTTTGCCTGATAACTCTGAATGATGAGGATGTTGTTAACAAATAAAAAGCTACTTGTGGATAACTGGTGGGGGGGGGGGGAAAGGTGGGGATCTGAATTAGTTGTATAGATTCTATTCCCTGAGAACAGCAAAGGTTTGAGCTGAATGAAACTGGAATTTCTGTCCTGTGGGAAATTCCAAGTTTTCTAAATTTTGTTTCATTCTATTTTGGAACGAACCGTCAAACTTTGGAATTTTCCATGAAAGGGAATCTTCTGATTTGGAAACATCAAAACACTCCTCCAATCATTAGGAAACCTGTCAGTCAAAAATATCATTGAAATGGACACATATGCCTGCTACGCGTTTCAAATCCAAGGAAACAGTGTATTTCCACAGAAAACTGTTCCATTGAACATTTTTCAACCAGCGTTAGCAGAGATGCAGGAGTGGGTTAAAGACTCTGAAAAGACTTCCCTTACAGAATTGTGTCATCGTAATTTCTCTTACTGATGAATTGGCAGACGCAATTTCTCTCTCTTCTCAAGGTGGTTGCTGCTGCTATCACTCCATGTAACTTGCAAACTCTATTTCAGGGGTAGTCAATTATTTTTTGTCAAGGTACAAATTTCTTGGTCAAGGTATAGTCAAGGTCCAGCCTGCAGAGAAACATTTTTCACACCACAATAATGATAATAAATAAAAAGATTTGGGGGTCCGTTCAAAAGCATCTGATGGTCCGGATTTGGCCTGTTGACTACCTCTGCTCTGGTCCATTAACTGCCCTTGAGCGAATTTATTTAGAGTGCTCTTTCACTCATTTCATTTAGTATTCATTGCTGTAGCACTGGTCATGATGAACTCATTCAAGACTGCGTGGGCAAAAATACTAGAACTTGGCCAAGAAGGTGCTGGGCTTAGTTCTCTGCTCTCTTATGCCAGTTTTACACAATTGAAGGGAATCACACTGGCAGGGCCGGCTCCAGGCACCAGCTTACCAAGCAGGTGCTTGGGGCGGCCACTTCGGAGAGGAGCGGCATGTCCAGCTGTTCGGCGGCAATTCGGCGGACGGTTCCTCACTCCTGCTCAGAGCGAAGGACCTCCCGCCGAATTGCCGCCACATATCGCGATCGCGGCTTTTTTTTTTTTGGTTTTGTTTGTTTTTTTGTTTGGCTGCTTGGGGCGGCCAAAACCCTGGAGCCAGCCCTGCACACTAGTGCCAAATTAGAGAAAGGAGTGGAAAATCAGGCCCACAGTACAGATCTGGATCCACATTAGGTTTAAGACTATGGGAGAGAATTTCAAAGGCACAAATGGCAGGTAGGTTTCTATTGACCGTCAGTGGGCATTAGGTGCCTGGCTGGTGATTGTGCCTTAGAAAATCTCTCCTTGTGCTAAAATAATCAAACTTGGGTCCCTAAAGCTAGACATCTAAACAAAAGTGGTTTGATTGTCCATTCCCATTAATGTACCCTGGCTAACCCACATTGTGGGTGCTCAACACCTTTAAAATCACTCCTCTTTTATATAGGTGAATAGATATGGATTTAGATACACCTCTACCCCAATATAACGCTGTCCTCGGGAGCCAAAAAATCTTACCGCGTTATAGGTGAAACCGCGTTATATCGAACTTGCTTTGATCCGCCGGAGTGCGCAGTCCCACCACACTGGAGCACTGTTTTACCGCGTTATATCCGAATTCATGTTATATCGGGTCACGTTATATCGGGGTAGAGGTGTACTCCCATTTGAAAATAGCAGCCCACACCCATTGCACACTGGGAGTTTCCAGTGGAAACATCTGAAACTGAGGGAGTGAAAATGACATGTCCAGGTGCATGCAGACCCGGTCTTCAGTTGCAGGTAAAGATCGCTAAGTGCCTTATTTAAAGCAGAATAGGCACTGTCTGCACCAGGGAGCCTCAATGGAGAGCTTGCACCAGGTGCTATCCGCAAGGAAAAAAGACATATTGCAACTCAAGTTATTCACTGACCACAGCCCACTCTACGCAGGCTACCTACAGTGACCAACAATGTGTTACTACATCCTGCGCTACAGTTATTTCCATTTCCACTGTGGATAAATGTTGACCTTTTAATAAAGATCACTCCTCTGAATGTGGCTTTCTTTCTATGCTAAACATGACACTGATCTGTGCTAAAAGTACTTGGTGGAGCTACTCCGGATTTACTCCAGTGCGACTAAAATCAAAATCTGTTCCACTGTGCATAATGTTCATGTTGTCGAGAGAGAGAGATGAACAAACACTGCTCAGTCAATAGATAACGCCAGATGGAGAAGATGGAGGGAAAAAAAATTGTCGCAATGGTGTTGTCATAGAAACATAAGTCTGTTTATCTAACTCTTGGTCATCCCAGCAGTGTAAATCACCTGAAATGAAACTTACCTGCAGCACACACTAGTTACGGGCTCTATTTTGGTACCCTTTAGTTGGATTCCCAAAGAGAGAGCAGCCCACTTTATGGTACCGTGAGGCATTTATAATTGACTTGGGTCAGAATCTTTCCAAGCTACAAGATTTTTATTTTATTTTATAAAATGTTTTTGTCACAGGTTAGATACTTATATTTAAAAACAAACCTTGACTTAAAAGTTTACAGGATTGAAAAAAATCAGAGGGGCCTAATTTTCTCCTCTCTGGACTGTACTTCTTTCTTCAAAGGCTGGGTAATTAGGAAAAGTGTTGAGATGGATCCTCTTCTTTTACAGGAAACAGGAGCTGTTAAACAACACAGATGTGACCATTCCAGACCGGCCTTTATCCCCTCCACTCACTGCCCCAGCAACCATGAAGGTAGGTTACGTACATGATATGCTACGGATTGCGTTCTTTACGTTTTATTCCTGTTCTGCTTTGCAAAGTGCATGCTGCGTCCCGTAGTGCGGGTGCAATATCTCTTGGAGGACTGGTGAAAGGAATTGTATGGTACATACACAGCCCGGCTTAAGGTGATTGTTTTGAAACTGAAGCTAGTTAATACCAGTGTTTAAAAGTAGCAGCTGTGTATCGCAGGCATTCCTGAGCGGATTCTGGAGTTGAGACGGAAGATTGTTCTGCTGCCATCAGCTAGGGTGGAGTGTGGCTGCGAAAGTCTATGGGCTACATTGTCCTACGCCTCAGGCAGTCATTGACACCAGTGCAAAGCAGTTGTCAAACGATACTAAATCAGAAGGGTGGTAGCACTCTGGGCCCACTCTGCCTGAGTGACTGCACATGCTGCAGGGTAAAGAAGCATCTGACCCTTTGCCTGTCTTAAAAATTGTTCCTGTGTTGTTATAACCTGGGGATCTGCTGCCAAAGCGGCGATTTTTATTTATGATTTGTGTGCCAGGTGCTGTACATAGAAGACACAGCCCATGCCCTAAGGAGCCTATTTTCTAAGGGCTAGATTTTAGTCCTCGAAAGGAGCAAGGGCAGAAGTAGACTCTACTCCATTCTCCTTTATAGCGGCTGGGGAATGCAGGCCCGGCTCCTTCTTATAACCCCTGCGGATGTTGCCCAAAAAGGAATGGGGAAGGGTGGAAAGAGAGTGAGTGCCTGTCTGGACACCCTCCGACCACCACCATCCAGCACCTGTTAATGGAAATGGAAACAAGTCGCACCCCTGTGCATGAGCAGGGGGCACTGTCACGCCGCTGTGACCAGCCTGGGATTCCCTCAGAGGAATTCTTGCCCAGTCAGCTCCAGCTGCATTCAAGGCTTGGCGGAGTTGCCCTTGGAAGGCTTTGCCGCAGAGGAAGGATTTGAATGCAGAGCAAGCGGTTGCGTCTGGAGCAAGGAGACGGAATGTCACGCCGCATCCTTCGGGGAGGGCTTGGTGGCCTTTTTGCTTAAATGTGGCATTGTTCCTCCCAGCTTGAGTTATGCAAGGTATGCAAGAGTGCGTTATGCTCTGTGATGCATTATTGCCTTGTGTCACCCGGGATGAAATTCAGCCAGAACACTTAGTCCAAACCATCCTACATCACCTTCTCTCTACTCAGTCCTTCTGACTCCTTCGCAAGCTCTTGGATGGCGTTCCAGCTCAGCGCTGAGCCAGAGTGTGTTAGCAAGGGAGCTGAGAGCCCTGAAGCTCAGCAGAATTCCCTAGGAGGGTGATGCAGAAGGTACCAGACGTGGAAGCTGGAGGAGGGGGCTAGCTGAGGGGAGTTACCAGCTTCCGTGCATTGGAGAGGCCAGGATCATGGAGATTTGGTAATTGGTGGAGGTGGTATTGAGAATGTGTTTCATTATAGAAGACATGGAGGAAACAAGGGGAGAAATGAAGGAAGGAGAATGCAGGGAAGTGATTGGCGGGGGATTTGGTGAAAGAGTGGGGAGATGTATGGGGTGAGAGAGAGCGGGGGAAAAGGAGATTGAGACAGGGGTGGTGTCTCAATTAGGGACAATTAGGAAATATCCCGCTATTGTCTTTTTCCTACCTTTGGGGGAGGGAGGGTACATTTCAGCAGAGGCCTTCCCCAGACACCCACCAAAATCCTTACTCATTGAACCCCAAACATCCATCAGGAGGGACGCTCAACATTGCAGGATTCCAGAGGCCTAACCCAACGCCCATTGAATTCAATCAGCAACGGGTATGTCTGTTTGCACGCGAACACACCCCTAGCTCACAGGAACGTCCCAAGGAATAATTTGCTCATGCTTTGAAAGGGTCAAGCACCATGTAAGAGCTAAGCAGTATTATTTTATGAAATGCAAAGCCCTTGAAAATGGAGGCGTCTGCACTTTGGTTTTAAATGGTCAAAATGGGCCAGTTCTGTGTTTAAAAACCCACCAACGCTATTGCATTTTGAAGTTTCTCTCTCTCTAAAAAAGGCATTTCCTTTTGTGCCAAAAACAAAACACAAAGACGATGACAATGGGCCAAATCTTTGTTGTTTGTAAATGGGTGAAAATTTACCCGTGTCAGTGGAGCTGTATCTGTTAGCAGCAGCTGATAATTTGACCGTAGCCTTTTGAGATTTTGCATTGAGCTTTTTTTTTGCAAATCCATGTGCATCCCCAAATTCCAAAGTTCTGCATGATTTTTTTTTTTAATGTGAAAAGGGGCTATTTCCTGGAAATTCTAGGTTGTAAGATGACCTGAAGTGAAAGGATGATATTTGACAATTTCCCCTTCCCCACAGCCCCTCAAACAAACAAACAAAGAAATTATTCATTGCTTTTGCTTACCACAGCTGGGTTCAGCTAGACTTTGCCTTTCTCTCCTGCTTTGTTTTGATACATTCATAACAGGAATGAGCCCTGATGTATAAATAAAGAGAAGACCTGCCTTCCCATAGGAGCCCATTTGTCCCAGAAGGATCTGTGGAGTAACTCTCAGCCCTTGCAGGCTAATCCTCCTGAGAGGGTTTAACACGATTTTCAATGAGAACTCCTGCCAGACAAGCTGTAAATGGTGTTTTCTTTACGTTTCAATGATCAATGTAATATTTTCAGGGCCATGCACAGTTTTGTATTAGCTGTTTTGCATTGTTTCAAGAACAATGTTTTCTTTTTTTTTTTTTGGTAATGTGGTGTTAATTAAGGTTCAGGCAATACCACTTATAGCCTGAGTTTGGCAGAAGAAAGAGACACAGATGGCCAGATTCCCATCTCACGGCTGCTTTACAGCAGTGTAATTCCATTGGATCTGGCTCATAGTATATTCTCCTCAATCACACCGCTTCTTCAGACCCATTTTGCCTGCCCATAAGAAAACATTTTGTGCATCCATATTATTTAGATGTATGCATTTACATATCTATGCAACTCTCTATATTTCAAGGATGCTGTGCTGTCCATTGGAGCAGGATCCTACAGCCCTGTAGGGAATTTTGAGATTGATTTCAATAGGATTAAAATAACAATCAGACCTAGCTCTTATATAGCACTTTTCATCCGTAGGTGTCAAAGTGGTTTAGAAAGGATGGAGGCGTTCCCCATTTTACAGATTGGGAAACTGAGGTGAAGTGACTTGCCCAAGGTAACCCAGCAGGGCAGCGGCGGAACCAGGAATTGAACCCAGGTTTCTCGAGTAGCAGTCTAGTGTTCTGTCCACTAGGCAACACTGCCTCCTGTGAGTTAGGTGTGTGCCCTCACTGTGTATTGATGTTATCTCCCCACCCCCATCCTCCTGCGACATTCCCACCTCTACTTATTTTATTGTCCCTTTGTTCCATCTTGTCTCAGACTAGATTGCAAGCAGGGGCCCACTTGGGTGCTGTAAAAGAATAACTAATTATCAATGAGGAGAGGATTGAGAGTCTCGGTAGCCATAGGGAAATGAATCCTGGAGGTGTTGGCACATTTTTGCCATGCAATTCCCCCCGCCCCAGATTTCTCCCTGCTCTCATCACATTAAGGCAGGGATCATGTGATCGACTTAAGATTGTTTTAAGGCAAGCTTGCTATGTCTATCATGAGGGCAGAGAGGTGGTAACTAGGTCAGCTGCATGTAGCTCAAGGGAACAGCTGTTCGTGGGTGGCTTTTTCCCCATCGCCAGGCTTTCTTGCCTGTAGAACCGGCACTTCCGTTGAAGTTAAGCCATTCTGCTTGCCTGGAAGACGTTAACGAGAAGAAAACTAATTACACAACCTGTTCAGAGTGCTGAATGCAAGATGAATGCATTTGAATGTACTAAGGAGGGATTGCTTGCCAGCTGTCCTCAATGCTGAGGGTTGGGAAGGTGTGTCTCTTGAGTCTTTTGAGTTGGTTTTAGAAAGTGAGCGTCTGTCACTAGTTCCCTGGAGTTGCCAAGTGGTTAGGGCAGAGGATTGGGTGTCAGGCTTTCTGGTGGGTGTTTCTCACTCTGCCAGTGACTTATCATTTGACCTTAAGCGAATGGCAGGCTAGAAGGTGGCAGTTATGGCACATCCCTGAGCCAAGGGCAGTGCAGAGCTGCCCGAAACCAGGAGGGGCACTGGGAAAATTATCATTCAGGCCCAAGGCAGGGGATGCATTTGGCAAGTTCTTCTCATCCCCTACAATCTGAACCCCACAAGTGCCATATCTGTGTAACTCCACTGCAGTCAATGAAGCAATTATCTCCAGGTGAGAAGGGTGCCTCCGTTTACCTGACTGGGAAGTGGGTATAATAGCATCTCCCCAGGGTGTTCAGAATGAATCAATAGAAAAGTGGTTAGAGATCATAAGACGAGAAGAAAGATGTTCCAGTGTTTAGGGCACTAAGCTAGGGCTCGGGAGACCTGAATTCAAGTCCCTGCTCTGCCATAGACTGCCTATGCGACCTTTGGCAAGTCACTTAAACTCTCTGTCTCTCAGTTCCTGCACTGCCCTGCCTTGTGGGGGTGTTACAAGGATTACTACATTAAAGATTGTGGTATGCTCGGATACTATGTAATGGGAGTCATATAAGTACATAGATAGTATGTACATAGAAAGTACCAATAACATTCTCTATGGAAGATTGTGGTACTAGGGACATAGGAATTACCATATTGGATGATTATGTATTTACTAATTGTATTGCATTAGCGCTTAGGAGCTCCAGTCATGGACCAGGATCACAATTTGTGCCAGGCGCTGTACAAACACAGAACAAAAGATGATCCCTGCTCCAAAGATCTTACAATCTAAAGATCAGACCCAGGGTTCATTTAGCCCAATATCCTGTCACAGGCAGTGGCCGTCACCAGATACTTTAGAGGAAGCTGTAAGAACCCCACAGTAGATAGATGTGGGATAATCTGGCTTCTCTTTAGTTTTTCCAGAGGCCACGGAGTTAAGAGACAGAACGATCTTCTTGTTCTGTCGCCTTTGGCAGCCCAGCTCATTACAATGATGTTCG